AGAATCTGTACATTAAATAACTGTATTTTAATACAGAAAATCTGTATTTTAAATACAGCAAATCTGTATAAAAATACTGAAGATCTGTATTTCAAATACAGAAAATCTGTATTAAAATACAGACTTTTGACGACTCTGGCGCACCATACTCTTTGCTCTAAAAAATTTTTAATTGTCATAAGTGCTTGTCTTCATACGTTTACTTCTTCTTTAATGAGTTTTTCTTCTGTCGGTATAATTGTATTGACCAGAACTATTATCTTAATATACTCTTCTTATTGCCTGATATATTTTACTACTGATTCTCCATTGTTCCCTCTTTTACCCGAACCATGTACTACAACCCAAGCAACATCAATAAATCCTCAAACACAAGTATCAATATCTGCAATCGTCGAATCACAATACATCTAATCCACCTCACTTCATGCTCAATATTGGCGTCCATCATCTCAATTAATAAAGAAATTACGCTTAATTCACGAAAAAGCATATGCACAGTTTCCTTGTGCTCCGTGTTGTTATTGTGCCGATTGCTTTATCCGCTTAAAGCTGTGTGGGTCCACAGAGATTCAAAGCTCACTTTTTCCTTTCGAAGAATTACACCCAAATGTCGCTTTACTCGAAAATCCCAACACTTATGCTTCAAGCCGAGATTGTCGCAATTCTCCACGTAAACGAGCCTCGAACTTTATCCAATTCCCCCACAAATCCAAATTGTACCTTACGGAAAAAGAAAATATCTTTCTCCCGTCTTCCTCCATTCAAGTCTCGGGGAACTGGCAATGTTTCTTTATTTAGCGAATATCGCTCAATAAGAGGTATTATAAACTATTCTAAAAATTATCAAGCCTTATATCTCTATTCTGATATGCTAGGTGATTTCTCAAAAATGATGAAATCAACATAGATTTACCTTGAAAATCGTTGGTATTATCCTTCTGCCAGCAGCCTGAGTGTTTACAACAATATCATTCTATCGCCTCTACCTTATAAGCCAACCAATTTCTTTTTCTGATCCCAAATTAGAACCTCTGGTGTGGATATTTTAACCAAAGCATTCATAATTCAGAAATTAAAGCTGAAACTTACGGCAAATATATTGAAAGTGCGCAACAGATCCCATTTGGTAATCAGCCGCACAATTAATGACATAAAATTTTACAATAAGGCGTTTTCGTTTTCATTTTATACTCTACTATTTTTAAGTAAACTTATTTTGGCTAAACAATTATGTGTCGCAATATAAACTTACCTGTTTTGCTAGTGTTACCATTAATGTGAGAAATATTTTTATAAAAATTACTAATACCCTCCACAGTATATATTCCGACCAAAACACCATTCCCCCAACAAATAAAAAACCACACATACACGAAATCTTCTTTACAGAAAATTATAAAATTACTAATACCTCACAAGTATATATTCTGACCCGAAATACCATTCCCCAACAAACAAAACACACAATCAAAAAATTACCAAGACGTACCTTATAGGAAAAAATTTTCACTTGTCTAGAAACGGTCTGAAATGGTTCTGGTCTCTGAATCCAAATCCCTCCCGCAAACTGTACTCATATAATATCTTTAATGAAAGAGAGATACGGACAGTCAGAGATAGATTACTTTGATCAGATGACATTTTTAGGGGATTCAGCACCGGATGATAAGCAAGCTCCTGTCTAACATTCAACAACCGATCGAAAAGAATGAGTGCTCTGAGATTAATTCTATTGATTTCTCTCACATTTAGCCCAGCCCATAATTTATAAGAGTTGGCAATTATTAGTCAAAAGATTAAAAATAAGTTTAAGGTAGTAAACATGCAATTTTCTCTCATCGATTTTAAAATAAAAGCTTTATATACTGTATTACACCAATCACATACACCTAACAAGATATCATTTTATTTATTAATGAACATATTACAAAATAAAACATTACCACTGACATATAATGAGTATCCCTGCAAAAAAGATTTTGTGCTCTTTCGTTCTATCAAAAATCGATCAAAAATACACTAAGCAATGTAATGTCGAAAGCCTAATACAACGAAAAATTTAAACACACTATCCATAGAGAAAGCACGACTTATCACAAATCATAATCCGCTTGAATACGATCTTCGCATGTCAAATCCCGAAAAGATCTTAAGAAAATACTAAGTGATTCCGAAAATGACAACACCACACTAACAAAAACAAACACCAACAAATTTACTACTGATATATAATGCTAACTAATTATAATGTTTACAATCGACTATTTACTTACACACCTTCACCTCTACAAAAAACCACTACATCCATCATTACCATCATTGATATGGTTCGATCGAGTCAATGTAACTATTTGCACTGTGCCTGAGCAAACTGCCTTATAATTGTGAAAACGAGTCGATGGAAAGACTCGCCCCGTTTTGTTATGCTGCTACAAGTAATAAAGTTGACACAACATTATTAACTCTAATTCTTATCGAACGTATTCAATTACGAACGTTTTACTTTATTCTTAAACATGATCTTTCTTAACGAACAAGTATTGTTCCATCGATCGTAATAGAGCTTTATTTCATTATAGCTTTCATTGTCGCAGCGGAAGTCTTATAGTTAATCAGCTTCCATTCGCTACGTTTATAACGTTCTGCTCCTTCTTCACGATAGTCGTTTCAGGAGACTTAAGAACGGTATTGCAATTATTATCCTTTTATTCGAACTTGATCTTTTTAGATTAAATCGCTTGCAATATGCATTAGATTTCATATACCGAGGAGGTTGTCGTCGACTTCAGGAGATCAGGGACTCATTTATCAATAGTTGAGTTATTTTCGAGAATAAGAGAATTTATTTATTAGTTGTTTCAAGTCATCAACACCAGATGCAAAAAGTATGCTGAACACTGCTCGGGGAGCAGCCATATTTAAGCGTTTTGAGAACCAATAAGTTATATGATTAAATTCGAAATACTCATCCTTTGTGCTATTCTAATTTCTGTAGCACAAATTCACATGAATATTTCGTCGTTCACAAAACACATTCCCAAAAAGGTCCATCTCCAATACAATGATAATAAAGTTTCAAATAAATCAGGGAAGAATTTGATTCTAAAGCCTTTGCCAATGCTGTTGCTCCTGCATCTTCAATCTGATTATGGCAAAGGTTCAAAAAAGTCAGGGAAGAATTTGATTCTAAGGCCTTTGCCAATGCTGTTGCTCCTGTATCTCCAATCTGATTATAATGGAGTTCCAAAGAAGTCAGAGAAGAATTTGATCTTAGAACATTTGCCAGTGATGCTACTCCTGCATCTCCTATTTTGTTTTCCGAAAGATCCAGACGAGCTAGAGATGTAAATTTAATATTAAGAGCCTTTGCCAATGTTGTTGCTTCCACATCTCCAATATTATTTTCAGAAAGTTGCAAAGTAGTCAGATAATAATTTGATTCTAGTACTAGAGACTTTGCCAATGCTGATATTCCTGCATTTCCAATCTGATTGACACAAAGTCTCAAAAAAGTCAGAAGAATTTGATTCTAAAGCCTTTGCCAATGCTGTTGCTCCTTTATTACCAATCTGACATTTACCAAGATCCAACTCAATCAGAGAGGAATTTGATTTCAAAGCTTTTGCCAATGCTGTTGCTCCTGCATCTCCAATCTGGTTAGAAAAAAGTATCAAAGAAGTCAGAGAAAATTTTGATTTTAAAGCCTCTGCCAATGCTGTTGCTCCTTCATTACCAATCTGACATTTACCAAGATCCAACTTAATCAGAGAGGAATTTGATTTCAAAGCTTTTGCCAATGCCATTGCTCCTGCATCTCCAATCTGGTTAGAAAAAAGTATCAAAGAAGTCAGAGATGAATTTGATTCTAGAGCCTTTGCCAATGCTGTTGCTCCTGCATCTCCAATCTGATTAAAATAAAGATCCAAAGAAGTCAGAGAGAAATTTGATTCTAGAGCTTTTGCCAATGTTGTTGCTCCTGCATCTCCAATCGGATTACAATCAAGTTTCAAAGAAGTCAGAGAGAAATTTGATTCTAGAGCCTTTGCCAATTCTGTTGCCCCTACATCTCCAATCTGGTTAGATGAAAGTGTCAAAGAAGTGATGGAAGGGTTTGATTCTAAAACAGCTTCCAGTGTACTTGCTTCACCTCTCAGCTCACCAAAGAGTTCCAGTGTTTCACCTTGTGGATGCTGGTTTTGAGTCTTAAATAACAGTATTAATTGTTTGTAAACATCTGTACATGATGGTCGTTCATCTAGATTTTCACTCCAACATGCTGAATATAGCTGAACATATGCTTCTGGGGTTCCTGGAAATGGAGAATCTCGATAGCCTTGTTTTCTACATTCTGCCACACTAACCCATTTTTCACAAGGAATTTGCCCACTAGAAATTTCCCAAAACAACACTCCAAGACTAAAGACATCAGATTTCTTTCTGCGTTTATATGATTGGTCTCTAAGTGATAATGGATCTCTGTATGCTGCAGTGCCTTCACCTATTGATGAGGACATAATCTGCCCTGATAGACCAAAATCAGCAATTTTTGCAATGCCAGATTTGATAAGAATGTTGGAAGAGGACTGTAATAAGGGTTAGGAGGATAATAATTATTAGTTTGTAATCATTAGGTTATGTAACTGTGACCAAAATAAGGTGCAATCATATATTACCAAGTCCTTGTGGATGATATTAAGCTTATGCATGTGTCTCAAACCATTAGTAATTTCCAGGCTGAGCTTATACTTGTCTTTCCATGTTAAACTATGAAAATGTTGTGCCAAGTGATGGCGCAAAGTTCCACCATCAGCAAACTCGAAAATCATATGATAACAGTCGTCTTCATCTTTAGATTGAAAAATACATATTAATATGTTATGTGTAAAAATACATTGTCATGTTACAACGATAACAATGATATACTTACAGACACCCAATAATCGGATAATATTCGGATGACCGCTCACTTTCTTGTGGCTTTTCAACTGATGGTATGTAAGTCATTAGTTATAAATTGGCAATGATAAAACGTACGCCCTAATATATTGAACAAAAATCAACAACCAACCTCTTTGACAAGTTTTTTGCAAAATTTTTCCTCACAACCATGGACATTCCGATACAAAGTTTTTATGGCGACAGTCAATGTATTATTATTGTGTTTCATCGTTGCCTTAAATACTGCTCCATAGGCACCACCAGCAATAGGTAGATGGCCCACATCAATGTCACTTTTTGGATAACAGTGAATAGAACTCTCTTGAATACTGTTCTCAATCCATTCCTTATTATAAACATTATTAGGCACTTCCCGCTGATGACTGATTACTTGAGATTGCAAAGATCGCTCATCAGTTTCCATCTGGGAAGGTTTATCTGGAAACCCGTTTCCTAATTGATGAAAGTTGTTTTGTGGTTGAGAAACTTGGTGAATGTCTCCTTGTGACTGAGACATACTTGGATTACCCGTTGGTGGATAGACCTATAATGCCATAATAGTATGTAAATGCGTGAACTTAGTACAGTTACGGTTACCTCACAGTAAACCGAATATACGAACCTGTGATTGAACATACTCCGATTCTGATTGCTCGATTGGAAAAACACCAAGCATGTTTTGAACCGAGTTTTGTCTGTCCAATTGATGTTCAGATTGCATCGGCGGCGTAAAAAATTTGTTTGGTGTTTGTACTTCACGCTGTCTCGAATACGGGTGCTGCGACAACCACCGTTGTTGCCGATGCGTAAGCAGGTTTTGCCTAGTAGACAGAGTGTCGTTCTGTTGCTGAATCGAATTATCTATATATGCCGCCATTTGTTGTTCGTTTGTTGATTGCAAAATAGGATACGTTGGCAGATCACCAGAGGTAAACACATACACATTAGTAGGCAATTGTGAAGGGTTGAGCGATAGTTGATAATATTGTTGAGAGTTTATCAGAACATCTCCATACAATGATGAGCTATCCACGTATTCCTGCTGCATTGGTTGATAAGTTATGGATGCGGCAGCATTAAGCAACTGTTGCTGATGTTGCTGTTGCTGTTGTTGATGCTGCTGTTGTTGATGCTGCTGTTGTTGATGCTGCTGTTGTCGCACCAATTCTTCTTGTTGATAGTTCCATGGTTGATTCTGCCACGCCTGCAAAGGATGTTGCGACATTTGTAGGCTAGGTAAAGTCATTCTACAAATCTACGCAGCAAAAATGTGTGCACTTATGGTGGGGGACACAAGTACGCATTAACTTTATTATGGTGCGCCAAGAGGTGCCAAAGAGCGTTCTCACCAGTTCATCGAACCAATCCATTTTGGAAATCAGATTATCGTTGGCTAGATAGTACTCATCAGCTACAAAAAAGGTGTAATGAGAGTATTAATCACATTCGGCAGCACAAATCATATTTGCCAATCAGACAAAGTTTATTCCGTGAAATATTAAATCACTGTACTTTTTTACCAAATATGGTATCGAGGCCAAGATGATCCATCAAGCCATCAGATGGCTTGATGGTATTACCCCTTTTGGATATGCATTGCCAAATTTGGATTTGTAATTTCAAAATTCGATTGGCTCGATGAGCTGGTGAGAGCGCACACAGATTCTGAAGTGTTACTAAATTTACATTTATGGAAACTAGTGGTACCATGCACGAATCGATCATTAATAACTTTATTCAACGAGATAAAAGAAATGCTATAACGGACTGGTTAATATAAGCTTCCAACAAGACACAGCGACACTAGTCTAGTTCACAGAAACGAAGTTATAACCTTTTTGGAAAGGTGAGTACGAGATTACAGAACCATTACGAGCGATTGCGGGTAACTTCTCGTAACAAGAGTGAAAGAACTGACAGGTGAGAATGTGTGTATGAGATAGAGAGAACAAGAGAGTGTAAGAAAGAAATAAGGCCAGAATGTGAAATCAAAAGAGTGAGAAAGTAATTGTGAAATAGCAAAGAGTGTGATCACGATAAAGAGAAGAGGTGAGCAAAAGAGTGGTATTGAGAGTGGCAAGCAAGTGAGAGACTGAAAGTATGATTGAAAGGGAGTGAGAGAATAATTGAAAGGCAAGAGAGCGATTGAAAGAAGTAGAGAGAACGAAAGAGTGAGAATTTGAAAAAGAATGAGAGAGAGCGAGTGATTGCAAGAGAGAAGAGGAGTGAGAGCGGGAGTGATCGAAAGAAAGAGGGAGATCAAGAGCCGATCACTAGAGAAAGACTAAACAAAAGCGTGAGCGATTGGGAGAGTGATTGGGAGAGTAATTGGAAGAGTGATTGCAATTTTTGGTATACGCCTCGACAATAGTTATGGTTAACAAACATGTAATCAAGCGAATCAAAATATCGAAATTTAACCCGTACTTAATATTCTGGGTCAATTTTTGGTATACACCTCGACAACAGTTATGGTTAACAAGCATATAAGTTATATGAGCATTGGATGCTTGGTTGTTGCGCTATTCCGGATTATGGCGAAAACCGATTTCGCGTCTTTGAAGAATCAAACGAATCGGAATATCGAAATTGAAATCGTACTTAATATTCTGTGTCAATTTTTGGTATACACCTCGACAGCAGTTATGTTTAGCGAATGTATGAATTTCATAAATATATGATTTTTGGTTGTTGAGTTATTAGTGATTGACGACGAAGATCGATTTTGCGGAATCAGCTTTTGCAATTATTTATTTTCTAGATGTATTTAATAATAATGTTTTTGATTTGGAGTTTTGTGATCGTTTACTTTAAGAATAAGACGATGCGATTCTTACGTGGGTTATAATAATACATACTGTATACATGGTTAACATTTCTTTATCCGTTGAATAAATGATCGATCCGAAATGTCGTGCATGGTATTACTTAATTCCATAAATGTAAATTTAGTACTACGAAATGATTGGATGAAAAGTATCAATTAATACAAACTGTTGGGAATTAAAGTACCAGTGGTATTTTACAAAACCAGTTATACCATGTGGTACTTACTATACACGGGGGTGGTACTTTGATCGGATAGTGTTACTATACTAGGGGGAATACTATGACAGGACTATGTAAATTGCTATTTTATTGGTTGTAACGTACTTAAAAAGATTTTGCATCTTACGAAACACAAATAAATTTGCAATATCTTGCTTGCTTTAATATGAGAAAAATGATTCGAAAGGCCCATATTCCATGTAAACAGCGTCGTTCTTGGTGGTTTAAAGAGGAATATAATAAGCATGTTTAATAATAAAAGTTGTACCATGATACTTTACAAGTATTTCGTGTAACAACACGATCATAGTACCATGGTATTTTACATTCCATGAGCTTCAAAATGATAGGATGGTACTATGCTAGGGGGGACTTTAGTCCGCGAAATACAGTAATTACCATAAATGAAATTCCGTATTTTTCAGAATCTGTATTTTAAATAATACAGATTTTCTGTACCTTTAATACAGACTCTGGCGCACCATACATACTATGTTTCAATTTTCAAGGGGAATCATTACTAAATATGTCAATGACCCACTCATAATAAATCTTTATTATTTCAGGAACAGTCCCATGGCTTTTATATTTTTTGACAGTAAATTCTGCCTGTGATTCTTTCAATCCCTTCCGATTGCAATCCATAAATCGTTTGGACCTGACTGCATATTTTTGTATTATCTGCAAAGAGATCGAATCAAATGCAGATGGAAGAGTTTTCTTCAAACCATTCCAAGTGTAATTGCAATGTTGCCGCGTATATCTCTTAACAGCGCCCCAATATTGCTCAATAAAATTTAACTCAGGATGAAATTCAAGTAGCGTCTGTCCATTTTCCTGCGCTGCTTTTTCCGCATTAATATGGTGCCGATACTGTGTTGGTCTTGACCTTTTGTATATGTTAATGAAAGATTTGATCGGAGAAGATTTGCCATGTTTTGAACCAATATTTTAAACAAGTCGTCAGCCTCATCGTCTAATCAATAATCATTCCAATAACCAACTTTAGATTCACTACTTCCTGTGCTGTCTTCTCCAATTGCATCTTTAATAAAATAATTATTAGTAACAAAATACTGCGCTATATACATGTACTATAAAGAGAATTTGGCTTTCTCTTTTTCCTAGCAAGCTCGCGACAGAATTGTGTGCGTTTCGTGGGTCTACCCATTGTCAAAGAACGAGAAAATTTTGTTTGCAGATAAAGTTTAGTGTAACAAATTATTTCCATTTTTGTTAATAAATCGGCCTGAATGAAGATTAAAAAGGTTTCAAATTTCGGTTAATCATATAGACTAAATATAAATTAACCGAACTTGAAAAGTTATATCTCGAGCCACAGGTAATCTTTGTCAAATTTCTAAGCGTCAACTGTTAATGTTTATCAAGAGAAACAAATTGATGGTTTTAATATTCGAATTATTAATACAAAACTGCTAGTATTTTCTTTAAAAAGCATCGATTTTTGTTTGATGAGTACTTGTGTCCCCACCATACTTCAGCTGTTTTTCAAAAAAAGAAAAAATTCTGCGTAAAATTCACTAATTTAGCATCGCATATGATCGTATCTATTCATGTGTCCTAAAGGTCGAAAGTTTTCCTCACATATTCACTTTTTTTTCTTGTTAACAGCTGCTCATCGTAATATTTGTAACATTCTGATTGTTGTAAATAGTCATTATAGCAAAAAGAGTAATCCCACAGAGCTTTGCCATATGAATATGAGTTTATATAGCTTACAATGTCGCTAACCAAATAAAAAATTGGGTTGATTACAATCCATAGCTGCAATATATGGTTTTGTTGTTTCTAGAACAATTTTTATTAAGTGTAAATGAAATTCGTGCACCCACACAGCCGTGTATCCCTAATTATTACGTAATAAAAGGTTTAATGCAACCAATCAGCGTTTCGTGTTAACGTTTCACTATATAAACTGCACAATGCTGGCTAATGATAGGGTACTCTTCTCAAAGTGGTGAGTTCTCCTTTCCGTTTTGTGTCGAAGCCATTTGTCAGTGTGCCATGCGAGCGTGCATAAGTGCATAAGTTATAACATACTGCTGTAAGTGTCAATTATTATGCGCTTGCTTACGCGTAGGCTGTTCGCAGTATCTAATATTCTTGTACAGACAAAACCCTTTAAGTGCAAGCCGTTGGGACCAGACCATGGCATGCATTTAAAGGGAATGTGCATTTAGGGATAATAGTGATTTGTTTAACACCATAATATTATATATGATAATATAGACGTTTATTATTTAATTAAAATATTGATTTGTCTCATTTGACTACTTTTCCTTCCATTACCATAACATTAACAAATTTTTCAAGACTGTTTAACTGCCTTATCTGCTCACTTGTGTCTTCTTGTTGTAACAAAACCATCGTACATCTTCTAAGCTTTTCAATGCACTACTGGCGCTTACAATAGGAATCTCAATACTGTCATCCATTTCTTCGGCGTTCACCTCATCAATATCGTCTTTAAATGTCTTTGCGATTTATCTAATAAGTTGGTTAGCGTCTGGAATATCGTATACAATATGCTCTTCAGGAATAAATTAACTTGCATTGGGTCTGTTCCAATTCGCCTTCTAAGACGCATAACAATGATAACAACGGTTTAAATTTTACAAAGAGAATAGTAGTAATATAATTGGTCAATACAAAATTGATCACGTGCGTGCATTTAGAAAATAATGGACGGACTGAAAAATCATTGCACGTGCAGGATATAGGGAGTGTGTATTTATCACTAAGTCCCAAGCTCGGGACCTGGAGAGTGTGCATTTAGAGGGTGTGCACTTGGAGGTTTTTGTCTGTATATGCAGTAAACTATTAAGTTTTTAGCCGAAAACTCGATTCCTAATAATTTTTGCCGGTGGATAGACCGACAATCATTTCAACAACAAGCACACTTCATCCACGGAAAAAGAATAACTTCGAAATATTAGATATGCGAAAAGCAAACTTGGTTCGGTTATCAACCGAGTTTTGTCACAAATAACAGCGCCGCTGCGACAATTATTGTCGTTAATGTTGCTGTTGTGCATAAACAGATTTTGCCGAGGATTGTTATTCGTTTTCAATCACAAATAGATTAATGGATCACCGGAGATAAACATATTTGTGACATACTGAGCAATTGTCGAGGCTTTTGTCCTCTTTGCAGTAGGTTTTGTGAGTTTGGAGACCAAAATAATCTGCATAGGTTAAAAAGAGCTGTTTCTTAGCGCCGCTCCAAAAATTATTACGCAATGTAATGTCTGATGATAAATATTCTCAACTAGAAGTGTCTTGTGATTTCATTCGGCTACAA